CGGTTCGAAATTGGAGTCATGTCTTACAGGAACGTGGTAGAGATATAGGAGTTACAAATCGATAATTCTGATTTGTGCATAATTTATATTATATCGTCAATATAGTAAGTATTCACTGACTTAATTCTTTAGTCTAAACAGAGCTACTTAGACAACTATGTATTGATGTAAAACAAAACGTCGAAAGATGAAAATTTTGTATCACAAAATACCATTAGGAAGTTAAAATTTGTGTCTTTGCCTCCTCTATCTTCCCTCATGCAAAAAAAAAAAAAAAAATTCTTCATTTGGTTTTCGACCAAAGAAGACCTAGCTTGTTTGCTTCTGCTTTTGGATCGATCTCATCAAATAAGAGATGGGCTCTTACTCGTTATTGTCTAAGGCCCTCAATCACTTACATGTTTCCTTTGCCATGAAAGATAAACAAATTTTCCCCCCTTGTCTTCATTTCTGACTTCTCAGCAGGATGGCCACCTGAAACCGTGTTTGTAGCTAGCGCTAGCTGGTTGTTTCTCTCCATGTACATGTAATCCATATATATATCCTACTAGTACCCTAAACATCGGATCCCATATTGTAATGGGAGTACTATATATTGAAGGCAAGTGATGAAAGTGGGACAATACTCCAATTTGAGCCAACATGGTAACATGGGTGAAACAAATTTCTTGACACAAAAGGGGTGTGAATACAAGTGACAAATCGAAAAACTTGTAGCATTTTACCAGTTATGAGAAAAATATGACATGTTGATTATATGTATATAATTTCACTTTGATATGAAAACACAACAATTAAATCCATCATGGCATGCATAGCGAGTCTCAAAACCAAGTTTTTAGAACATATGGACTCAGAAAGTTCCAACAATGACAGTGTTCAGTCAGAAGATGAAGAAGCTCTATGGTTCAGCTGGGTCGGACAACCACGGATCTCGTTGCTAAACAAACCTTGAAACAAAATCTCTATTGATTGATCGGCGACCTAATAAGCAGACGAACCTCTTTACATAGCTAGGAAACTCAAACCAGCTTATTGACCTCGAATCTCGTCGCTCGATGAACTGACCTAACAGCTATGAACTAAACCTAACAACTCGTGAATCGGTTTCCTAACCCGAACCAAACTAACCCTAGCTCTAACAACTAACTGTCTAGCTAACTAGATCGAACTACCCCCAAACCGATTTCTAACTAGAATGTAACCACTTTTCATTGGAGGAACTAGTGCCCACCATGCATGAACAAGTGGCCTACCAAGGAGCAATTACTTCTGTTCCATTTCTCTCACGTTGCTGTGGATATGCATCAGTATAGCAAACAATAGTAATGGCGGGTCGATATCAGAATGATAAATAATGTAACACTAGCCAATGTCCCAAACAACATAGATGTATAGCTATAGTAGCCTCGTGGCACCATTTAGTTCTGTAGCTTCACCTACCTAATTACCCTTAATTAGCCTTGTGGTGGGGGTAATTAATTAAGCGATTAGACCAACTTGCATGGATTGGATGGCGTAGAAAACAGATTAAAACCCATATATTAAGGGTTTGCTGCCTCTGAGGGATCAGACATTAACCCAACATAGCAACACAAAACATGGCTTGGCCATTAGTTTGGAGATCACTTCTTTTTATATACTTGTTCTTATTAGCACCTAACTAATTACTAAATTAGTTTATTGGTCTAGATCTAATTGGTTCCTCCAAAAGGGTAGATAATGCCACAGAGCCATACGCAATATGGTGCTTCTTTTGTCGGGCTAAGCTCTTGGCTAGCCAGAGTGCTCGTGCCTAATATCCAATATTATAGATATGATTAAGCGCCATTAATAGTTGACTTTTGAGCTGTACATGGTAACGAAAAGGTGTTTCCCTTTGCTCTTTTCGGGTAATGATGATGGACTGATTTAATTAACATCCACTAATGAGCACCAAATAAAACGGAATGAGGGAGACTTCTTTTAGGGTTACATTTTGTATATTATTATTATTATTAGTTGTTAGTAGATAATCAAGTTGATCATAATCAATTAAGTATGTTTATTTTAATTGAACGTAAACGTAGAACATATAAACATTCAAGTTTTTTTTTATAGCTAGGAATAGAAATATTCAAGCTCACTTTACTATTATTTGATGATAACCTCTCATTTTGCATGATTTAAGGACGGAAAATTTGGTTTGCTTATCACAATTCATTTTGAATTGAAGTTTTGAATGTACTTGGAGGAAATATGAATCATCATACATAGGATAATTTGAGTGCATTCGTTAACAATTTGGATTTGGACAATGCAAGATGGATGATTGGAAGATTTTGAAGCGCTATGGTATGCAAAATGCACATCATGAAATGAGTGTATGTAACTCTACACAAGTTTTTCCCCCCTAGAGACATTAACTCTTCATATGTACTTCTTATACGATATTAAAATAGTAGTCAATCAAAATGCTGTAAATACTAGATAAACTCTTGCGGACAATTTGCATTGAATAACGCGATGAACAATGTATCTACAAGTATGAACAATTTATCTCTGCATCAGGAGGCTAATTAGGCCTCACTAAAGTCTAAACTAATAAGATCCATCAAACAACGACTTTGCCTGGTGGTATTATCGTTGGACTTCAACACGAAAGTTCCTGATTCGATCTTTTAAATAATACTTTAACAATAAAAACAAAACTAATATCACCGTCGTCTGAAAAAAAAAAACCCTAATAAGATCCACTAGTGGTAATACCACTAGTCATGAACCTGGAGGTCCCAGGTTCGAGTCCCTTTAGTAGTACCTAATAACAAAACAAAAAAAACATATATCACCCTTATCTAAAAAAAAAAAAAAAAAAGATCCAACACATTCTACTGCTTGAGGCAGAGGGGATTGTTGTCTCTCGATCAGCAACGGGCGGGTGACGGTGATCACATGGAAACCAGACCGGCCGGATTAGCCGTTTCTTCTTGCAAGGGTACAGTGGTCGGGGCCCCAAGTGGGTAATTCTTTGCCGGGAAAAGCCCACGCCGGCCCTCGTGATCTTGCCCACTTCACCTTCCGGACTTGCCACGTCAGACCACAGATGTGGACGTCCACGTGGAAGGGAGGCGGCAGATCCGCCATGTCAATCACGTTGTCTGTCACATCATCTCATTAAAAACTACTACTACTGCATACGCGGCCGACACGTCGGACCCATGCACCCCCGCCTTGTCAGTTGTCACCCTCCACCGGCGCTGACGTGCATGTGGTTTTCCTTCCATTTAAATTCACTACCTAGTTAGTTAGCTTGTATTCAATTCCACAACCAATCCTAGCTAGATTGCATTTTTGTATATAACCAACACTTTTATTTGTATTTCATGCTTCGGTTATGGATAGGGATGATTAAAATGGAAGTCGAATTTGTGGTCGTTTCGACATGAAATACAGGAATAAGATTGTAGGATATACAACATTTTATATTTATAAGAAATACGATTAAATTGTTGACCTGTCCTCAGTTCTTTTGAGGCACGATAGTTTCAGCTATTAAACATGTGTCTGCTTATGGTTATGCTCAACACGATCGCCAATTAGATGGCGAACATATATATATATATATATATATATATATATCGGCTTGCTTTCGTGTGAGTTTTGCTGACTATATATTTTATGGAATATTCGCGAACCAATGAATTTTCTCGTCATGAAAATACATGATTGTATGATGATAAAGGAAAATTAAACACAACTTATACCACATTATCCAAGATGCATGCGGCCGTCCCATCTCTTTCACAATCCTGGCATATATATACAGTTCATTCGTGAAAACGTGCTCAGAGGATTGGACGTCATCAGGGAGCGCGTTATGCGCTTTGTGGTGTTGGATGTGGACAAAACTGTCATCATGCATGTTCATCCAATAATCACAGAGCACCCAATACATGATCTGACAACGCCTAATCGTTATGAGCACGTTCTCATATATATATATGTAGACATTTGTGAGCATTTTAACAAAATTGGGAAAATAGCCATCATCGTCAAAAATTGCTGCACTATATAACAATAATGCAGAAAAGAAAATGATAAAAAATGAAGTGATGGTGATCAATGACTAGAAATGGAAACCCTTTGCGATTGTGGCCAGTCATTCTTGATTAATCATGGCTAGACGATAGGAAAAGAGACCGAAGGGCAGTTGGAGTTGACAAGCCAAAGAACGTACGTAGAAGAAAAACTGTCTAGTTATATTTATATGGTGTGATACCACAACACAAGCTTCGATCCCCACAGGAGATGTCTCCTTTCACTCATTGAGTTTGGTGAATGTGTAGTTCTTTTCTTGAATAACATCTACAAACTTCTATAAGGTTTTCTTAAAGTACATATTATGAGGTGTCAAAACTCGGAATAGGAAATAGTTATTGCTTGTATTAATCCAAAATAAACATTGTCCAATATTACGAAATTAAAGTTCGAACAAATTTTTTTGCATACAACATGAAATGATAGTGGAACAATATGATCTTAAATTGCTGCATATTCTTCTAACCTTTCAACGCACTTTGCACGAACATGTAGTTTTAGTTTGAAAGTTTTGCTTGCTAGCCGCAATCGCAATTGATCATTGGAAAGGGGTGTGCCGCAACACAATTAATTAGAGTCAATGAGTAAGTGATTATAAATTTATAACATGTCAATCTAGCTATATGCCCTAATGGCTCAATGATTAACAATTCATCAATTCCCTGGACAAAAGATTCATGGACTGCCAAGCTGTGATGTTCCCCAATTGAGACATAAGGGAAGAACAAACCAAAGTGGGGATTCATGGAAACCCTAAATTAAAGAAATACAAAAAAAAAAAAAAAAAATTTGGTTGAAAGAGGAAACAAAGAATCCCCTTCATCCCTCCCTTTGCTTATTTTGTGGGGACCTCTCTCCTTTATTCAAAATCCACTCTTTTTTGTGTATTTAAAGCAAGCCCAACTCCCACTCCTTAGCTCCCACACCTCTTCATCTCTCAAAGCCTGCAACTTGCAAAGATAGAGTTCATCAAGAGATAGATAGATTTCAAACCCATTTGCCCTTTTTTGATTTTGAACCCTTTTGCCATACAAGCACACACATACCAAAACCCTCAAATGAAGCTTGCTTTGGTTGTCTCTCTTCTACTTCTTCTACCCTTCTTCCTTCAACAAGCTCAAGGTAATCAATCTCATATTGCTGCACTTATATTTAACCACTTATATCTTAATGTGCATCCCACGATCAGACAAGATGAAATTTTTGTGTTCTAATGAGTTGTTTCTTGTTCTTATGTTATAGGGATTCGACCCGAGAAGGGATTTCTTGATCAACAACAGAAATCTGATAAGCTAGTGGTGGTGGTGGTGGAGAAGAAGAGCTCATCATCATCACCATCAATGGAGGAAAGAAGTAGTCCTAATGATCATGATAGCAATGGAAGAGTACTAGTAGTGGGAGAAGATGGAGTAGTTGTGTGCAAAGAAGGGCAGGAATGTAAAAATACAGGTATTGATGAGATGAAGACAAGAACATCAGTTACAAAGAAACCATCATCTTCTTCCTCGCATCATTGGCTTCATGAAGATTACTATGGACCCAGAAATCACAGACCTAAACACCATTGACGAGCATCTTATTAGCTACCTTAATTAGCTCTTTTGGCTAGTTAATTAACCCCTTAATTAGAATGATTCATTTCGTCAAATCAAATCTCCCCCACCACCTCTCTTTCTAGTTAGATCTCTTTTCCCCCAATTGCTTGATCGTCGAAAGTCAAATAGTTGAGCTAGCTAGCTAGTATTTGAAGCTCGCAAATGTACTAGAGAGATGAATCCATAAAAAGAGAGGAAAATTCGAATCTCTTGATCGTCAAAAAGATCCACACACAGTTATTTTTCATATGATTGTTTTTTTTAATACGTGTTTTCAATTCAATTTTTCGTAGTGATTGTTGCTTTAAAACGATTTTTTTTTGTACGTAGGCTACGAGAGTATTATGAACGATGGAGAGCTCGTCAACCATGGCGCCGATTCCACAAGTATAGGTGCCTCAAAGGTTGGTGACCAATGGCACTATTTCGAGTACTACTTAACTTTGTAATCTTATGTATGCATGTACGGCAAAATACTTAAAGTGGGTTTATGATGAGTAATTAAACATATGATTAACGTTGTATTTATCTTTCTTTCATTCTATAGAAAGATGAAGGCAAAGATGGAGCCACCACGACCACCACCGGAGAAAGAGGCGACGACGGTGGCCCGGCGAAGAAGTTTCTGTCGGAAGCCCATTCCGATAGCAACCACCACGGCCATCATAATGAAGAGAACGTTAATGGCGAAGGCTACATGGATATGATGGATGTAGCTGAAATGGACTACTCAACGGCTCGAAGAAAACCTCCAATACACAACTAGCTATATATAAACAGTTAATTTTTTGAAAGAGTAGTGTTGATCAATGATATATCAACCTCACTTCAAGAATTTTAATTGTTATATAGGAAAATTATAAATGTAGAAATATGGACAGTTATATTATTCCAATTTTTTTTTTTAATTTAGGCTTATTTATTTTAGTATAATAAGAAGCAGCAATATCGGGAAAAATTATAATGGTAGAAATACATACATTAGAAATTCGATTGTTTTCTTATTTATGTAATTTCCTAATCTCATAGTGAAGCCCCTGATGTAAAATATCAAGTGAAAATTTTACTCCACGAGTGTTTCTATGACTCGATAATATATTTGTTGTTTGATATCACTGGATTAAAAGTATGGATTGTGAGCTCATAATGGAGATTAAGCTAGCGAACTTAGAAATTCAAGGTGTGATAAAGGTCCAACAATAAGAATTGCATACAAATCTTTCTAAACTATGGTACTCGTGCATTCTTTAATTAACTATTATAATCAATCAATCTAGACGATGCAAGTATATACTACAAACCCTATATACTATATGCCCTTTGTACTTGTATATACTTAAGCAGCCACCATTTGAAAAAAAAAATGAATCTAGAATTTCATATTCTAAACAATCCAGAATTATAACTCGCCCAATTATTGAAAAAAACAATATAAAAAAGCTTGACATTTGGTAACGATGATTGTTGACATTGTACTTTCTCTACATTCTCTACATTTTATAGGATAATAATTGAAATCTCTTGAGTCTAAAATCTATGATACATAAAGTTGGATAAAGTTGGAGTTTCTGCTGAATTTGTAGATTTCACAATATCATATGATCAAATTCCATTCCTGCATTCTTTTATTTCCATTTCCCAGAAGTTGCATTTTTATAACCCTAGAAAACATTGGGCCTTTTGCTGGTGGGCTCCCAACATGTTTTCACGTATTGAATGTTTTGGTGCAGAATGAGTGGTCATGTCCAAAACAATGGTGGGCTCTAAGTGTCTCCGCCCGTTGAGTCATTTTGATGTTTCAGTCTCCGATTGCTCAAACACACATTCATCAGCTGTAGATTCACTAGTTACTGCACCTTCATAGGTTTTTTACTCCAAGTTCGGTGAAAGCTTGCACCAGCATTCCCTTTTGTGCAGCTAAGTCCTTCCTGAACTCTGGCGAGCTGCGACCCTTCTTCGAGATCCCGGATTCCGCCCTTCTTCCTCTTCTTCTTCGTCACACATCCAACTCGAGCATCGGACATGTACGCTCTGCACGCCACCATGATGTCCTTGGCCCGGCTGTGGAAATGGCCCCTCACCAAGTCCTCAAAGTGCTGCAAACGAGACGCGATACATATTTGGTTCCAGTTCTGCAATGTACTGTGTTATAAACTAAAGTCCCTTCTGCAACAAAAAAAACGTGACCCTTACTTTTGGTGGCTCCCTCATTGTAATGACCATGAGCTCGAGCGATTGAAGGAATGCCCTCTCATTGTACTCTACCGACGACGTGATGCTGGGGAAACCGGTGGAGAGTATTCCACTCGCCACCCCATGGATTAGAGGATCATTGTACGAAGGGTTCTCGATTTAATATCAATGCTTGTATAGAAAGCAGAACCTGCATCACATTCGAAACCCCAGGCTGCCAGTTCTCAGCTTTGTTAAAAGTGGTCCATGTTCCTAGAAGGGCCATATATACATACCGGCGGAGCACTTGGAAGCAGAACAGACCGTCGTGGTAAGGAGTTCTGTCCGCGCCTAAAATTACAGCCCTCAATAGGTCCATATTCTCGACTCGTAGACCCTCACATATATCGTGGTATCTGGTTGCATGAACAACATTTTCAGGATTTAGATGCATAGTTTCAGGAAATGATGTCTATTTATCATAAGAAACAGAAGAAAGATCGGTTCTTGGATGCTCAAAGAATAACTTGGTAAAGGGTACGATATCCTACCTGGCAGATCTTTCTTCAGCATTTTCCACTCCTCTTGAATTCTTTTTGCCCACTTCTTGTCAGTCTGACAAAACCACGAAATTCAATAAATAGCAAGACTGTGTTCTGATAAAATTGAAAACTAGGCTTGGACACAGAATGGAATGTTCCCTTTTTGGCAGAGGAGACTTGTGTGAAATCCCGTTTCGATCTCTCTCCTTTTCGCCCGAAAAACAACCTGATATTGAAGTGTGCGTTCTCAAAGAACCAAAACAAGCAAAATTTTATATTGCAGTCAGTCACCTGTTTCGATGAAGAAAACCATCTGTAGAGATGGGCTGCATGGTCTTCCACGATATCGAAATGCTTGAAGCGCTTAAATTTCCTTAAAACTTCACTTACGCTTGGAACTTCAGGTTGATCTCCTGCACGAGGCATATAAACATGTAGAGCATGAAAACTGATAATCCATAAGTGGTTCGCTTCCAGTCTTTTTGTGCATATTCTGAGAAGATGAATGAAATGATTGTTGGAACATAACAAAGAAAGCTGTTCAAATGTCTCGATACCGAGTCTTATGCTTCTTCCAATTGTATTAATCAAACGACAAAAATGGGTCTCCTACAACTCCCAGCGACATTCGACCATACATCATAGAAGAAACATCTGTAAAGCACAACTGATTCCCAATCCAAGAGCTGCACTCGACATTTGTGGGCCGGTCACTTGATCCATTATTGAAGACTTGACGTGGATCACGAACATTGATAAATTTCTCAACAATGTGTCGAAAAAATGTGTCTTCCTTTCCATGACGACTTGTATCTAGGCCAGGGTGATTGTATCCTGAGAATCAAGTCAAAGGACATTTACACGGGTGAGTTGGAAATGACGAAGATAACAATGATAACCAAATGTGTCTAGTCTAGTCAATGATACACATATTGTATTACCTTATCTTCAACAAGATTGACAACGTTTACATCCTTGGTAGCTTTACCGTTGCCCTTTCTGCAAACATTCTCATTCAGGATCACAACATCGTCGTGCTAGTCATCTACATCAACGATTTCAGGGAGCAAAGCCTGTACATATATAGACGCCATGATTACAATAACAATGTGTTACTAGAGAGAACAGGCCTATCCAATGATTGTCCAATAACGTACAGAACAGAAGATATGTCCATGTAATACTCGATCGCCATAAGCAATTAAGCATCTGAAACTGAGCGACTGTATGCTATAATTAAGGAACTAGGGCCACAACATGCAGAAAACCAAGGAGCTTGCTTTACAGTTTACAGCATAAGCATCGCAGTTATGTCAAGGGTAAGTTCCCCTAAAATCTAAAGGAGCTTCCTTCAATGCATCAGAGATATGTCATGGAAGAAGAAGAAAAATAAATAACTATATTTGATTCTAGAAACCAACCTGTTCACGTTTTCTGTTCCTGGCAAAGTGGGAAGGCGGGAGGGAGAGCGGGGAAATCTCGATGACGTCGGAGTCGGCGTCCTCCATTGCAAATTTCTTCTCAGTGGTTTCCCTGTTTCGAGATTCTGTGATCACTGGGGTTTTTTCTCCGCCGGCGCCGGTGCTCTGCTTTATATAGAGATTTTTGGCTGCCCCACTTTGGACTTCTCACCCTTCTTTCTTTCCCGCCAAAGCGTCTCTTATGGGCTTTCTCGTAAGAGATTAACGAACACAAACGCCATCACATCTAGTGACTTATTTGATAGTGTCTCCACTCTCCAATGAAAAACGGAAATCACAGGAAAAACAATCCTCCAAAACCATATAGAAGACTAAACACCCAAATAATCTAAGCGAGCTCTGTGTATTGGTAACGAATCACTGTAACCAACGTCCAATTGGCACCATATCAGCTCAACTTTCAGGAGGAGAGATCAGGCGTTGGAAGTGTCTGTTGCAGAAAGGGAAGGTTTTTCCTCCGCCTATACTCAACACTCGATCATCAGCCATGTGAAACTCTTTGTCCAACATCTACCTTATGAATTGTTGCCTAGCTAGTTCAACCACAAGAGATACTACTTCGAAGAGATCGAAACAGCAGGACAATAATCGAGACAAATTGCTCATTGCGGAAAGGAAGTTCTCACTTCTCACCTAAAGCTAAGGCTAGTTCATAACACCTTATCACGAAAACATTCAGACCAAAATCCCCATTGCAACTAAACTAGATTCATGCAACAGGCAACATCTAAGTATGCACAAAAAAGAAAGCTAAAGAACAACCACGGGATCCTAGCTTAAGCTGAGCTCTTACCAACCATTCTCCCGAAGCACACCCTGCCAGCCTAAATGACGTGCAAGCTTGTCTCTGGTCCACTTTGCCTTCTCATTCACAACTGCTTTGTAAACTGGAAACTGCTCACGCTGCTGTAATCCACCGAGCTCCTGGCATTCCTCGGGGAATGGCTCCTTGGCATTGATCAAAAAGTTATGCAGAACACAACCCATCACGATCACGGAGGGGAGGGGAGAAACTCGACTTCATCATCATTCCATTTCATCCGTAACAGCTGCCATCGAGCCCTGAGCTGAGCAAATGCAGTGCTGTGCGGCCCATTCAATTCCCCTACTGTGCTGTGCATTAAACTCTGTCTCCCCCAAATTTGTCACTTCATCATCCACCGCGCTAAACGGTGTCAACAGCACCTTTCGCAGCTCGTCCGATTGCTGAACAGAAGCAAAAAACTTGCTTTCTCGGAGAATCGATTCAGGGCTCATGGTTCCCGGCCATCCAGTGGAGATATCCAATCCAAGAACCTGCCATCCGTATCGACCACTGCCTGAACCAGGAAGGACCCACTGGTGCCGCCCAATTCTCTGTTCTCGAACCCAAATCGCTGAAACCCTAGAACACCGCAGCAATTCGGGAGGGACACCCACCGGAATCCCATCTGAGTCCGCTCTGCTTCCTTCCAGAACTCGACGACCATCGACATGTTCTCGCAGACGGCTTGGCCGACGACGAGGCGTGCGGCTTCCGGGGAATCGAGGCCGAACCATCGGGCCACGGTGGCGTAGGGCGTACCGTGGGCGAGGCGGCAGAGTGCGGCGGGAGGCAGGATGTAAATGAAGGGGTGAGTGAGGAGTTCGAGGAGCTTATGGAACGTCGAATTGCTCATTCGGAAGTACTGGAACCACCGGGAATTGAAATCGGCGCCGCCGTAGATGGATTAGTCGGGCAGAGATGAGGGAATCTGGACGGGAAGGGATAGGGAATCGAGTTGGCGCTGGAAATCGACGAGCTGAGAAGGGAGCATTCGGGCGCCGTTACCGGTAACGAAACATTGCGCCGTCGTGGCGGCGGCGGAGAGGATTGGGAGGATCGGAGGCGGTTTTGGGGCCGATTTGTGGCTTCTCTTGCCCTGGGTTTTGGGCTTCCCGAGGGAATTGCTCCTCGTGGGCGTCGTCGTCGTCATGGCGGAGGCCGCCTCCGCCGGTGGATGAGGGGATTGGAACTGGAAGAGGGTCGGGGATCCATCATCGACGGCGTCCATGTACCATGTTAATTTTGGCGATGGCGACTGATTTCTCCCGACGTTTTGATCGAAGAAATGTGCACTGTCCAGTCAGCGCATGGATGCCACCTGGCTCGTGGGACCCACATTTTCTTCTTCCAGTCTATCTCACGGAGTGTAAATCAGTCCTCCAAATATACTACCATGATGGCATGATATCTTCAAAATTATGAATTCATGCTATTAGCCATTAGGCTATTTGAGGGAAAAGATGAGGAATGGCAATGGGAAGTTTCGGGGTGGGTATCTCGATACGTATACCCGTTCTATTGTTGGTCGGGTTCTGGTTGGGTAATTTATTATGGGGCGTGGGTCGGGGCAAGTTGATTCAATGGGTATGTAATTTATGTGAAAAACTCAAAAATATTAGAAATATTCGTTATTTTCATTAAAAAAATCAAGAAAGAAACCATAATATAATAAAATATAGTTAAATAATTGAAGAAATTGAGGTTTTCACTTATTTACAACTTTATTATAGCTAAAATATAATGTAATAATAGGAAAATCCTAAGTAATTTGACTAAGATTATATGTAATTTAGGCAAAAACAGGTCAAGTATGGGGTAGGTCAGGGAAAATCGGATCGATGAGAGGTACCCATTCCCGCTCCGTCCCGCCTACGGGGCGGGCCTGACCCATCCCAAAACAAGCCAAACAGATCAGGTTAATCGGGTCAGGTCAAAATTGTCATCTCTAGATAAGATCTCTTAGCCACATGCTTAAGTCGATCTCAACCCTTCAAACTCATTAAAATCTAACGGCTACAATTAATTTAATTTAATAAAAGGTAACGTAGCAACGACATGATTTATAATTATTTTATTTTTTAATAATTAATAATTAAAACAACCTCCAAAACGTCTCGTCCTCCCCGTCGTCCCGCCGTCCAGGATGTTCCGGCGGTGTGCATCTCCTAGGCCACCATTTTTGGTGCGTTCCATTTTTTAGTCTCACCATTTTTGGTGCGTCAGAGAGAGATTTCCCGGCAGCCACTGACGCCGGAAAAGGATTTCCCGGCGACAGTGCTGAATTTGTGATGTTTGTATAGATTTGGTTTGTATTGTTTATCATTCTTGTTTGTAATTTTTAGTGACATTTTTTACGGTTAGTATACTTTTGCTGTTTGTCGGTTTATTTTGTAATGCTTGTACGCTTTGTTATTTTGTAATGTTTGTCGGTTTCTTTTGTAATGTTTGTAAGCTTTGTTATTTTTGTGCACCATGTTTATCATTTTTGTCAACCATGTTTGTAATATTTTTTATGTCCAAAAAACACTCTGGTTAACTTTTGGATGGAACTCCTCTATATAGGGATGGAGCCTCCAAAGTCAACCCGGGTGTTTTTTCGAGTTTGTATGGATTGTCGGTCTAGTTTGTCATTTTTGTCCATCGTGTTCGTTATGTTTGTATGTCGAAAAAACAACCGGGTTGACTTTGGGGCGGAGCCCTCTATATAGGGATGGAGTCTCCAAAGTCAACCCGGTTGTTTTTTCCTTTTTGTATTGTTTGTATTGTTTGTCGGTCTAGTTTTTATTGTTTGTACAGTCCATATGTTTGTAATGTTTGTAAATCTGTTTGTATGTTTTGTCGTTGTAGTTTGTACTGTTTGTATGGTTTGTACTGATTGTAAGTCTGGTTTGTATACTTCGTAAGTTTTCATAATACCCAAACTACCCTTGTCATTAATTAAATAGCCCTTCCCACTTTTTAACTGTCAGATTGTCGTGTCCAGATCTAAGGACTGAGAGAGACTTAGTCAAGTGACTAAGCATCCCCCTAGTCACCGGATCCTCCCTCCCATTTGAGACAAAAATGAATCGAGAATTTATTTTCTTCAAAAATAAATATTATTTCGTATGAATTCTTTGTTTGCAATGTCACGTTGAAATTCTTCATGGATGAATATAATTGAATTCCTTAATAATGTTTGGAACATATTTTTGTGTTATGAAATATCAAATTCTCTCATGTCCTCCTATAAAAATGCAAGTGAAAGTTTTGATCTGATTGAAAGATTCTTTCAAAATTTGATTATCTCCTCGTTAAACAATTCTCATCGTGAGCTCCATAGACAGATAAATTAAAGAAAACTAAAACGAACAGAGAGAGAACACGAAGACGAAGAGTGTAGAACAAATGGAGTGATAATAGAACTCAAACTTCTTTGTATATCGAACGAGGAGAGAGTCGTACACTTAAATGAAATAAGAGTAATTTTAGAGTAGAATAAGAGGGGATGAGATTTGAGTGAAGCTAGTGGAGAGACACAAATGTATACTAATTGCTAATTAGGATAGCCATGCCATTGATATTCATTAATGAATTAATTGATTTGAAAATTCCAGCATAATTCCTCAAAATTGCTATATAAAACATCAATTTTATAAAATTTTCATATGTGGTGTGTTAAAAGAACATAAACAAGGAGTGAAAAAAATAATAACACTTAAGATGGAGTACTGAATTGTGAATTAGTTCTTGCCCTTTCCAGTCGTATTCAGAATTTCAGACTCCACTTCCCAGGGCCCAAAGTCTTTCATAATCCTTTTAGAATTCGGAGGAAGAAAACCTTATAAAAAGGAAGACCCACTGGCCACTAATGAATTAACAAGCAAGGAAGGAAAAGAGAGCAAAAGCAGGAGACTTCGACGACGATCAGTTTACGAGTCAGTTACTGAAACCCCCCGATAACTTCTCGTCTGGGTTCCGATTTCGAACAACAATGGTGAAGCTGAGAGTTGCAGGGACATGGTCGGGGGTTCTGGATGAGGTCGACTTGGAGAATTGGACGGTGCCCACGTTGAGGGAAGAAGTCGCCAAGCGATCAAACGTTTCCCCTGCCTCAATCAATCTGATATGCGCCGGCAAGATGCTGAAAGACGGCGACGGCACGGAGAAGCTCTCGCAGTTGGGCATCAGGCCCAACTCGAAGATTCTGGCCAGCCGGGTCGCCGTCGACGAAGGGAAATCGTTGAAGGACGAGGAGGAGCTCAATCAGAGGCTGGCTCGCGTAAAGTCAGTACCTTTCTCTCTTTTATTGTCTTGTTCCTTTGTTTTGATTTGTCTGATAATGGTGTTTGCTTGTAATGGATCAACTGTTTTACATTCCTTTGTTTGATTGTGTGATGATCATGAAAAAGAATGGTTTGTTTTGTAGGAATCTGATTAGGAGAAGGAACAGTGGTATTGATTTTGCATGTCTTTTGAGAATCCTTGAATTGCTGTTTGCCTTGAGAGTATATATGGACAACTGTATGATTCCAGTTTTCGGTTTGAATTCCTTCGACTAAGCTTGTATGAGCAGGGCTTAAGGGATGAATGGCAGTTTGTTTTGGAGCTCAACTATGACGGATTGATAACCAATTTTATGGGTTTCTTGCTGTGAACTTTTCAGGGCTGCTGTAACTGCATTGTCCACAAGACACGCAGACGGTGCATTGCCGCTCGAGGACTTCAATCTAGAAATCGAAGACCAACTTGGGAACAAACTGCACTTATCCGAGTCCGATAGACAGTAATGATTCTCTTGACTAGACAGTTCTTGTGAAAGTTCGCAACTTTTTTTCTGTTGTGTCTATAGTGTGCTGTTAATTTATGCCCTTTCTGATTGAAACTTTGAAATATGGATTGGCAGGGCACTGATGATGGGTTTGATGCTCCACACAAATGGCAAGGTTCTAATGAAAAGGGGAAAGTTCAGAGATGCTCTGGAAGTACTGAATATGGCAGAGGTTGGTTGGCTCTTTCTCAACATAGCGGGACGATTTGCATGCCTATTCAAGCTTTTTGGTTACGAGTTTTGGGAGGATTCATTGCTGGTTGTTTGTTTTGTTTCGTGTTTTGCAGGAATCATTCTCTCTTGGCGATCCAAAGACTGTTGAAGTACGTGGCCGTTTTAAATAGCTTCATATAATTCCTTTTCATAACTTTTTTGGCTAAACCCTGTGTGTTTTTTTCTAAATCTTCTTTTACTTGCTTCCAGCGTGTTGATAATATTGCAATGCTGCAAATGGACATGGTGTGGTGCTATTTCATGCTGAAAGACATTGCATGTCTCTCTGTTGCTGGAGTACGTCTTGATAAGGCAAGAGATGGATTCGAACGTGCTCATGGCAAGGATGCCTCTCGTCTCAAACTACTTCAAGCAGGAAACTCTTCGGAGCTTGCAGTGTAAGTATTCTGAAAAATCTTCATTAAGAGGTACCCAAAAACTAGAGAGTTGGTGGATTATCTGGTGCTCATTGGTTATACTCCTTTTTATCATTACGTTCAGATATTTGAGATTGGAACTACTCGAAGCAGTGGTGGCATATCATAGTGGCCAGCTTGAGAAATCTAGGAGGTACTTGATATCTGCACAGACCAAATTCAAAAGGGTAAGCATGAAAATAGAGCTCTCTGTATATCCTCCCAACGAGTACTCGGTACCATTTGATGATATGTGAATTTTTCCATTGTAGCTACAAGTGTCCGATGAAGTCTTGTCAGTTGTTATGGGGATGGGTTTCGAAGAAAACGAAGCAAAGAGAGCATTGAGAATCAACAATCAAGATGCCGAACGTGCTGTTGATTTTCTAGTTGAGGAAAGGGCGCGGAAAGCACTGAAACGACAAGAAGACCTTAAGCGGCAAGCAGAAATATTGTGAGTGGCAATCAGGTTGCTTGTTCTTATTGCAATTTTCATCTGTCATTTATTCTGACTGGTCAGCGTTGGACGTAGGGAGCAAAAAAAGTATGGTGTTACACCCTTGAAGAAAGCTGTGGATATCCAACTATTGACAGGATTGGTCTCCATAGGGTAAGCATCCACTACCAAGTTTTTATTGTTGATTCCCGATGCCACTTTTATAGCATATTGAGATGAAAACTTGTCAAATGTATCAGGTTTGAGAAGCAACTTGCTGCTGAAGCACTACGAAGAAACGAGAATGATACTCAGAAGGCATTGGATGATTTGACAAATCCAGAAACTAATGCTACCATCCAGGTAAGTTTTTAGCTGTCTCTTCAAGGTGTATCTGCCGGTCACGTTTTCAAGCTCTTCCACTCATTGTTATTACCTTGATTTGAGTTTTCAGAACGACATTGAAACAAGGAAAGCCAAAAGACAGAAGCAAGACACGGACTCTAAAATCCGACTGATTGCATCCATGGGATTCGACATGCCAGCTGTAGCTGCAGCGGTCCAAGCTGGTGGCACTACAGAGACAATAATGCGGCGGCTTCTCCAACAAGGGCCACTTCCAGATCCCGCTGCTGCTCTTCAGGCTGCTGCTGCTCATGCTCAGGCCGTTGCTGCTGATGGTGCTGCTGCTCAGGCTGTTGCTGCTGATGGTGCTGCCGCAAATGCTGAACCACCAGCTGATGCAAGTTTCTCTGAACCGCGAGATGTGGAAATGGAGGATGAGATAGCAAATGAATTAGCAAGGAGAGACGCTTTATCTGACTATGATATTGATGTAACAAGAGAAGGGGAAGCCATTGACGAGTACTTGGCATTACTCGATTCAACTGGTCGTAGCAGTGGAAGTGCTTCAACTTCTGGTCGAGGCCACCAGGAGAAGGAAATAAGGAACTAGTCTCTCTGTAAATTATTAGTGTCAATAGCTGATGACTATAGTTTATCGCTTTTCATCTTTTGACAATTGTAGCTTCTATCTGGGAATGTTTTTCTTTTTTGGTGAAGGAAATTAGTTACACAATGTTTTATTTTAGTTCCAGATCACCTTCTTTAGACATCCTTTTGGAATGGTCATCAGTGACCTATTTGAGCACAATATATATAATACAATCTTTCCCCTCTTCAAGGTGTAGCAGTTAGCTGAAAATCATCAGACTGGGAATAGCAAAGGAGTGCTAACTGTTAAACTCAATATCTTTCATATAGTTTCTCTCAATGATCATTGATTAACTGGCTCCACAACCCTGAAGAAGAAGAAAGAAAAGCCTTAGAAAGCAAGTTTCAGACCCAACTTTTCCAACTCACCAGAATCCAAAAGTGAAGTTTGTAGCGAAGGAACTTCTCTTTAATCTATTCATTTACAAGATCCCGTTATCTGAGCATAGATTCATCTTCTATGATTTACATGCACTTAACTACGTCAATTGCCACCCTTAACTTGGACGACGTCAAGGAAGAGAGGCTGCAAGTGAGCTGTGACGTGAGTGTGAGTTCAAACTAGAAAAGCCCCCTCCTCCATGTGTTCAATTCACTCCTAGGACTGCTCATTGGTTGGACTCTCAACCTCCGTGACCATGAAGATTTGTTTATCCTCATCGGTTGACTCTTTCTCGACTTTGCTTTCCTTGTAAGTCTTCGGCAGGGCATTGCAGTTGATGGTGTGCCACACTGGTCTCTCTTCTTGGAACAGTCTGCAAAGTCACAGTAGAATAAAAGTTTAAGCAGCTAAAAAGAGGGAAAGCATTTGAATTTGAATCAAGAGGGTGAGACTTACGGATGCTTGCAAAGCATCGGAGATTGTACTGTCAGGGCGTACTTGCAAGTGGATAGCTCTGTGATAGAACTAATCATAGCTCTTGGCTCGGAACATACAAATCTCACCTGTCCAACAAGAAAATGAGGTGTAAATAGAAGGAAAAAGGAAAAGGGAAGCTATCAGAGAGTTCGCTCCAAATCGTTACTTCAGTTTCTCGTGGCTGATTGGTGAGGTCACAGAGAGTTCCATTTGTATATTGATGAGCATGATACCTACACAAATAACGTTGATGGTACGTAAGGAAACCTTTCTACCAAGTTTCCTTTTGCTTTAATTCATTTGATAGTTCATTGGGATACCTTTGAGATGCATCTTTCGACCGAGGATCCTTCAAGGTAGAAACGTCTTTTAAGTTCTGGTTGAATGCAGCTGTGGCCTCTTCATCATAAACACCCAGAACAAATTCCTGAACCACCTGCAATGAGGGAATTGTACATGTAAGCCAAATTCATTCTTCTAGGAACTAAGATATCAGCAAAACTTTAATTTTCCAAATTTCTTACCTTCTCATCTTCCACATGAAACTGCCTTAACTTTTGCTCGTGGCAGAGTTCATAAGTCCACCAACCCTCTTGCTGCAAGTATGGCACAGTATCAGGAGCAAAGCATACAAGAAATGCAAAATGACGTTTCGTTGGAACTGGGAAAGCAAATACTAACTCTGACAAGACATTTGCCTTTGAACACTTCAAGTAGCTCATCCGGAGTCTTCAATTTAAGCCGTTTCTCAGTTTCCACGATCATGCTGCTTATGTTAACCTGATTGATTGGCTTCCCACTCTTGGCTTTCTCTATCTTAGGCAAGTAACATACATAACTGCGCCCATTTGTATCAGGCATAACAACAAATTCTTGATCCTCATCCTGTAATGTCGTTGTCGGTTTCGACAAATTAGACATCCACCAACTTTCAGATCCTAACATGTAGACAAAAGATAGCATAACGCCAATGCAACTACGCCTTACTCACAGGATGAAAGGGGGCTTCTTCAGGATGGAACTCCATCTTGTACTTGGGTTCGCGAGAGCTGCGGCTGAACGAACCACCTGCCACCATGTAGTTAACTAAGATCAACTCCAGATATAAAGATAACGCAAAATTGTTTCAAAAAGGATGCAAAACTGCAGCTTGTGAGATCATTAGCAATAGCGCAATGGGGGAAATGTTCTCATTTTCATGACAGGTCCCAAAATCATCAGTTACTAAACCAAGCAACCAGTATCAAACACTATCATCACCTAATCCACCCAGGCAGCAGCTAAGATTACAACCCATAAGCACCCTCAAACTGAAACGGACAGATTTCGATCAAATCTGGCGCAAGGAGTAAGAAACATACCGAGATTTCTCTAGCCCCCACTACTCAACAAAGATCAACTGATCAACTTGGACTGGGAAATCGAAAAAACAGGACTTTCAAATCACTCAAAAGCGAATCAACATGGTGCTCGAAATCGTTCGAATGGGTGATTTACCTACGTGAGCTGGGAGGATCTGGTCAGCTAAAACGCAGCTGGAAACAGCGCCTACAACAACAAGGAGCAACCACAAAGATCTCATCGTTCTTCGGCTTCGCTTAATCCCACGACTATGAAGAAGATCCCTGATGAAAGACGGCTACGAGAAATTTGCTATCCTAAATTTTGAAGCTTCTGGGGTTTTGTTGCCCGGGGAGAGCTGAGATCGAGAAGCTCTGCCGCCTTGTAGGATAATACCGATGCGGCGACGGTGACACGGGTTGTTGCTAATTGGCCAATGGGTTGGCGACACGTCAGAACGGATGACCTGTACATGGACCTTAACTTAAGTATGCAGCCCAGTCTACTAACTCAGACTACCATGGGCCCAAAAGAGTAACTAGATGCCCAAATGTTGTTGTTGGGCCGCAATTGAAGGTTAGAGGGAGGAGCTACGGTTCTAATTGTACAAGAGTTAGCACCGTCCTAACCAAGGGTTAATAGTGATTTAGCTTAGATATTGTATTGATTTTATAATAATCCGTAGTGATTTCGTTGTTTTTAGTAGCGTTTTTTGCTAGTTATCACGGTGCTAACCCCTTATAAGGGTTAGCACCTAATCCCATCCCAAGGTTAGATGTCCATAATACTATATCTCAAGTCGATCTTGGTGAACAAATTGGTGTTCAAAGTCCAACACACCTCTCACTAGTGTCACTGCCAATCGAGCTTCCTCACGAGCAGGTTTCATTAGCAGCCCTTACACTCTGTTTGGGAAGAGGGGTAAATGGGAGGAGGGTGCAAATGTGAGGGGTAAACACAGTTTCCAACACATTTGCACCTGTTTGGTTAATTTGGAACAGTAGGGGGTGCAAAACGAGAGTGCAAATTTACTGTTTCGGCTTACCCCCCGAATTGGGGTGCAAAGGAAGGAAGGAAGAGAGGGGGGGGAGGGAATTATGGAATTTTGTTTTTCTAATTGTGTTATATATAATTATATAATAATTAATATTATCAATTTCTTCTTTTTATAAATATCATTAATGTAAACATTATTCGGGGTTGACCATTTGACTCTGGAAACAAGTTTATAAATGTTCGTCAAGTCAAATCTAGATCTCTTGGTTGAATCGAATTTGCATTGAAAATTAGATATACAAGGTGTTTGTGGAAAAGGTAGAGAGAAATTGTTTGGTTAACTCATTTTATTTGACTAAATAGTTAAAACTTACAAATTCGAACGTGTTTGACTAAGTTTGACAATTTAAGATTAAACTAGACATGAATACCCTATATAGGATGACCAGTTACGAGTTGAGCTTCGAGTTTTGAGATCGCTCGATCAATGATTATTACAATTGTTATAATTAATTATTATTTGAGCATTATTATATAATAACTATTTTTAGTTAAGTATATTTATTATTATACAGTAATATTTATTTTATTATTTTATGATAATATTTTATAATTTCAAAATTTATTTTATAATTTCAAAATCTATTTTATAATTTCAAAATCTATTTTATAATTTTAAAATCTATTTTAAAATTTTAAAATCTATTTTAAAATAATATAATTACTTACTTTGCACTTTATTTGCACCCCCCTACTTTTTCATCCAAACAACAATTTACCCCTCCACTTACACCCCCCAACAATTTACCCCTCAACTTGCACCCTCCTGCAATTTGCACCCCCCTTGTTGCCAAACAGAGCGTTAGTTACCAAAATTGCTTGAAATGCTTGTAATAACATGGACAAACTTGCAATCACTTGTAATTCAAAATGAGCTAATCAACCATTTGTATTATGGGGTGGGATGGGATGCTAACCCCATACCCCGTTAGCACCTGCTAACCCCAAAAACGCTACACACGTATTCATACAAACACTACACACGGATTATTAAAAATCACTACTACCAATATATTGCACCTCAATATTGACGAAACTACATAGTCCCAAGACAACTATGACCAGAAACACTACCATGACTGCACATCAAACTACTACAGACCCTACATATTAACAACACAGGCGATCAATAAAAAAAGACTACCAAAAACTTCCATGCAAAAACACTACCACGACTATTAGGACGGTGCTAACCCCCTATAGGATTAGCACCATAGCTTATCCCTTTGTATTATATTTTTTGTAGGCGATATTGCATTCACACGACTTCGTACTCTTTGCATTCATCTATGTTTTGCTTATTTGTCTCACATCATACACACACAATTAAATCTCATACCACAACTTGAACTCAAAACCCTATGACAGCAAAGATTTTGAAGACTGTCACTCCACTAAAAAGTTGTTTGTTAGCTAACTTAATATTACTTTAAAACTAGTAACTATAGTTTTGGGTGGTGGTTCAACCGGTTCGACAACCTTATCGTCTATTGGTGTACCTTAACAAGTAAAAAACTTACAAGGCCTTAACGATTTTGGTTAAAATCGGAAATTCATTAATGAATCGATAAAAAACCAAAAATTGCAAAAAGGCAAAGAACAATACAATTACCGATTCGGATTTTATGCCCTGTTTATTATAACCGAAAATAAAATAAAAAACATCGATTTTGGGTTTGGCCAATAGTATATTTGAGTTTCGATTTCTACCGATTTCGATTCGATTAAACGAAACGGAACCACTGCCTCTAACTCTACACAATAAATAAAAGTCAAATGAGAAAACTTGAAGCCTCATTTCAAATTTCCTGCATCTATAGTGAAAGTAGGAAGGATAGATTGGTCTGCACAATCACTTATTATTTTCTTATTTACAGAAAAAGTACATCAGTAATTAGATTTGAACTGTGGTCTCTTTGAACAAAGATAAGAAACATAACCAGTTACAATAAACACATTTGTGTGATATTTTACAATTAAAAACATACAGGAAGTTTAAATCTGGAAAATATAGGACTTTTCCACCAAGGTTAGCAATCAAAATGTTATTGATTCAAATATTGCATGTCGAATTGCACTCTTGAATGTGTAGAAGCGCTGTAGAATTCTTAACATAGAATTAATTGTTATAACTATTATAAAGTAACGATATTTTTAAACACAGAACTTTTGAGTGAATATGAGGCACATGTGTCCTTAAGAGAGGGGTAAATATGGAAATGTTGAATGATGTTGGTTTGTCGAGCGTGGATGGAAAAAACTCTACTAATGTAAATGGACTCAAATAGTGTCCCGACCCACTAAACGCTCAACCATCATCGTCTCTCCAAATTCTCATCAGACTCAACAACCGGCCAACCTCCTCTACCTCTATTATTAAGCCAAAGCAATTTTTGGAGGGATAAATAAGGAAAGATTGAGTGTTGTTGGTTTGCCCAACATAAATGGAGCTACTAATGTAAACATGCCCAAATAGTGTCCGACCAACTAAACACTCAACCACCGGGTTACTTTCACTACACCTAATATAAGGGTGAAATGGGAAAGGTGCTTCCCCTATTACAAAATCCTTGCATCCATAGCAAAAATAGGAAGGGTAGATTTGTCTTCACAATCATTTATTATTTTCTTATTTACAGGAAAATACATACGTGATGGGATTTGAATTGTGATCTCTTTGAGAAAAGACAAGAAACATAATCAGTTACACTAAACAAATTTGTTTAAAATTTTTAAATTAAAAACATACAGGATGCTTAAATCTGAAAAATCATTGCAATTTTTCATCACAATTAGCTAAGCCACTAACTTTCCCCTAAATATTTTTTGGTATTTGATACTTCTATTTTCATACTTTGATTATTTTAATTCGAGTTTAATAATTAATTCTATTTCTATTTATTTTATAAAAGGAGAATAATTTTATAATTGCAAGTTTAATGTTATTGGTGCAAACATTGCACATCGAATTGCAGTATTGAATGTGTAGAAGCGATGCAGAATTCTTGACATAGCTTAAAAAATATAACTACCATAAAGCAACAATTTTTTGAACATAGAAGTTTTGAGTGAATATGTGGCACATGTGTTTTTAAGAGAGGGGTAAATATGGAAAGTTTGAGTGATGTCAATATGTCGAATGCGGATTGAAAAGCCGCAACTAATGTAAATAGGTCTAAATGGTGTCCCGACCTACTTACTAAACGCTCAACCATCGGCTTCTCTCCAAACCTTCCCACCGGACTCGACAATCGCCTAACCTCCTCCGCCTATATTGTTACGCTAAGCAATTTTCGGATGGGTAAATATGGAAAGATTGAGTGTTCTTGCTTGGAGAGCTGACTGGTGGGTTATTTAATTTCTTTGACAGTAAAGTGTAATATCTTAACATCAGTTCATTTGGTTGATCTTCTAGGTTGACTTTTGAGTTGATTATAGATAAATAGTGTCTCGGGCTCCCGTCCTACTAATGGCTCAACCATCACCGTCTCTCCAAACCTTCCCATTGGAATCGACAACCGCCTAACCTACTCCACCTATATTGTTACGCAAAGCAATTTTCGTAGGGGTAAATGTGTAAAGGTTGAGTGTTCTTGCTTGGAGAGCTTACTGATGAGTTATTTAGTTTCTTTGATAGTAATATATGATCTCTTAACATCAATTCATTTGGTTGATCTTCTATGTTTCCTTTGGGTTGATTAAAGATAAATAACTATACTTTTTATTGCTTTGTAATATATGATATCTTAACATCAATTCAAATTTCCTGCTCCATGAGCGTTTGTAGGAAGGGTATAATAGTGAGTGTCAATTTTTCTCTCTTTCCTTTGTGGAACGAGCCAATTTACCGTACATGTGTGAACTTGAACAAGCCCGGGGATTGTTGCGCCCACAAAAACAGAATAGGTTTCAGCCACGGCCGCATCCGTTTCGTGCCTCCATAGCGATCACCATAACCGAGTCTTGGATTGTTTCGATGCTGGATTTGAACTCCACCGACACCGGGAATAAATGAATTAGAGAAAGAGAGCTTCATAATTGTTTACAAAATAATTTCCCCAATCTTTCTTCCTGTGTGCTAATCGCCTAATCCCTTCCGTATGAAAAGAAATTCAAGCATACTAAAATGATCCACTCATGCTCATGAAGAAGGGTGGTAAATTGCATGCAAGTAAAATTTAAAGATTGAGTAATCTAATCAAATGGTAATCAACCACCCCTTTCCATCATTCTCAAGCTCTAAAAGATAAGTGACAAAGAAATCCACAATATCGCTTCACTGTAACAATACAGTATTTATTAAAGATTGGTGGCTTTCTCTTCTTCTTGGTTAAACTAGCATCGAAGATAGACAAAGAGGGGGTTTAAACAAGTGATAAGAGAAGGGAAGATTAAGAAATGAAAAACAGAGACCGAGAGGGGGAGTTGAAATTGAGGTTCGAGGGGAGCATGACATGTAGGGAAAATGTTTGCAGAGCTAAATTAACAACAGGAAAACGAGGATGGGGAGAAGTGGCTACCGGCGGCGATATAATTGAGATCGAGAGAGAGAAGTGAACCATGTGCCGGTGAGCACAGAGAAGCTTTTTCTAGGGGATATAGGGTTTTCTTTAAGCCCTTTTATTTCGGTGTTGGTAAGATATATATGAAAAGGCAAAAACAATACTCCTTTTGTATTGCTAAAAAGAAAAAAAATTTAACAATAAAACAATGCATGGATTCTAATGGGCTAACCACTAACCATAGAATAAAAGAGTTGAATGGGTCTAACCCATACACGATTTGGCCATCAAGTAAAAAAATGAACATCATGGGTTTGACATCCTAAAAACACTATTTTCTCGATCATACATATATTATGCTATTATTTTATATCTTAGTGGCCAAAATATAATGTATTTTAAAGTTATTAAACGGTTCATCCTCGATCAACCAGATTAGTCTAATTTTTATAATTTAAAATATATATTATGTAATTATTTGATATCTTAATGATTAAATTATAATGTATTTTATAGGCAATCTTTTATTCGGTTTTCTGGAATTCGGTTTCTATATCTTACTCCACCTCATCATATTACCAGAAATAATACTGTTTCACAAGGTAACAGGTACTCGAACTTGGTTCATAAGGCTGATTTTTTATTCGTTACATCATCTATGCCGCTTTCCTTCTAAAATTCACTATCTTTATAATGTGTTTCCAAAAAAAATATATACAACAAAAAGCTATACAGCCTATTACATTCTCAAATTTCATATATCACCTTCCTCCGGCCAACTGGCCGGGCCACGCTAGTGTGATACTATACACCCTAAAATGTTTCCCTCAATGATAACACTTTGCTTTCAAGTGCACTTGTTGTTTCCTACTTTTCTCTAGTTGGGAGTTGCCTTGGGACAGCGGCAAACGGGCCTTTCTTTGTTATCCTTTTTAGGTTATCCTTTTTAGGGTGGCATTTGGCAGTTGGACGTGGCGGGAACCCACCCCAAAAGTCCGTTACTTTCCCACTTTCCGAGCTCTGCCTGCTTCACATGCTTCCGCTCCCACACCTTCCTGATTTTTACCAAAATACATAACAAATTTGTGCTTTTTATTAAATCAATCACTAATTTATTTTGGATTTTCATTTTTGGGCTTACGGTCCAAATTGATTGTTGTCCCACACATATCTCATTATCCACAAACACATTGTGCTCAAGGAAAATATAATTTGTGAAGAGCATTTTGTCCACCTGAAATTTGAGAGGAATCTAAGCATATTTGAAATCTCCATATTACAATAAGAATGAGAAATTAGTTTTTATATGTTACGTCAAATTATAAGTCAACATAAATACGGGTTATTTTCTGTTTATCGCTTATTTACATTGTATTACCACCTTGACTTCGTGTGTTTTCATAATTAGACTTGTATCATGCTAGAAATTAGATAGACTGATACACTTTAATTAAACGCACTCTTTACAATTTAAAGAAAAAAAACTTTCATAACCCGAAGTGACTCCCCATATAAAGAAGCGCAACGTGGAACTTAAGATCCATTATATCATCATGAATTAATAAGCAAGTATTGTAACATTATCCCCCTCAAATATCCATTATAGTGTCTTCATCAAATCGATGTAAACTTCTTTTGTTCAACTCAACGTCAATATTTATTTAATAAGACTTGCATGTTTTGATGTTCTCATAGACATAATTAACTACTAATTAATACCATCATTAACTCCTATTAGCTTCATGATGCTACCACAAATACATACAAAAGTACAAACCCCACCAAATTGATTAATTAAACGATTTCAAGGAGTCAATTGAAATCTTCCCCCAAGACATTTGGAATCTCCCGCACAAGAACATGGGTCCCACTCAGCTTTCCTCGAGAGATTTCTAATTGAAAAAGAAAAACCAAAGAACACATATCAAACAAAGCTACATTGGATTATCAACTGCCATTTCTGTGGCTTTCACGTTAAGCATTGAAATCCGCGTGAAAAACAGAGGCCGGTTTCTCCTTTTCCCCCATTTTCTTTTTGTTTCCCAGGAAAATTGAAGCTCAAGCGAGGAACTTTTCCCCAATTTCATTCATTTCCCAGATAAGTTATCTTCTCAAATATCCTTCCTTTTCCTTCCGGTTCACGCAATTCGCTGCAGTAGATTGTTTCCATCTTTGCTTTTGCTTTCTCTGAAACCCCCATTTCAGAAGCGAATTCCTTCATTTCCTCTGTTTCTCCGAATTGGGATTTGTTAATTTCGTTCGCACAAGCGACCAACAAATCCTGGTTTGGAGAGGAAGGAACCCTTTTGAGATTTGAAGGGAGAAGTTGAGATTTTGGGAGTTGGGTGGTGGAGAAATTGTGTTAATTTGTGTGGCTTTTGGACCCGTACGGGAAACCTAGGTTCTTGAATTCATTCATGATATGTTTCTATAGTAGTATTACTAAGCTCAGAAGTTCTGGATACTATAAAGTTCTATCTATCCATTAGTGTGGGATTCTGGTCTCTAGCACTGTGGATAACCTTGATTGCAATGAGAAAGCAACAACAGCAGAAGCAGCAGCAGCAACAGAATGGCAAAGCAAGAGGAATCAGTAGCCCTAAGTCCCCCACAGTGGACAAAGATGAAGAAGTCTTCATTTCCCTCTCCCATGAGCTCAAAAATGAAGGCAACAAGCTCTTCCAGAGGAGAGACCACGATGGAGCTCTTCAGAAGTACGAGAAGGCCATCAAACTGCTTCCGAAAACCCACATCGATGTATCTCACCTGAGGAGCAACATGGCAGCCTGCTACATGCAGATGGGGGTAAGCCAGTACCCTAGAGCGATAGACGAGTGTAACCTGGCGTTGGAGGTCACACCGAAGTATGGCAAGGCGTTGCTCAAGAGGGCGAGGTGCTACGAGGCACTGAATCGCCTCGACTTGGCATTGAGAGATGTTGGGACAGTGTTGAAGATGGAGCCTGCAAATGTGATGGCGTTCGAGGTTTGGGAGAGGGTGAAGAAGTCGTTGGAGAAGAAAGGGCTCAAGGTTAATGATACATCGATCGAGTTGCCTGCTGACTATGCTGAGCCAATTCCAAAAGCCCCTAAAGAGAGGACACCGAGGAAGAAAAAGAACGGGAAGATTGATGAGAAGAAGTCTGAGGATGGGAATGAAGAAGCTTTGGTTGTGGTAGAGAATAGACCTATGAAGAGCATGAAATTGGTGATGAGAGAGGATATAAGAATGGCTCAAGTTCCGGTAAACTGTAGTCTTCTGGAGCTGAAAGAAGTAGTGTCTGACCGGTTTCCTGGTTCTGGCCCAGTCCTCATCAAATACAAGGATCAAGAAGGAGACTTGATCACCATAACTACCGATGAAGAGCTTCGTTTAGCTGAAGCATGTTCATCACCACAAGGCGGCTCATTCAGGCTGTATCTGGTCGAGATCAATCCTCAACAAGACCCGATTGAGGAAAGACTCAAGCATGGTGGAATGAAGAGAGTTGACACCAAGACATGGAACATGGAGAGAGATAGAGAGATCAAGAAGGGAATGCGCTACATCGATGAATGGATTGTAGAGTTCGCTAAGCTGTTTAAAGACCATGTGGCACTTGATACTGACTCCTATTTCGGGCTCAATGACCTTGGTATAAAGGTCTATTCGGAGGCTATTGAGGAGACTGTGACTAGTGAGGAAGCACAGGGGTTGTTCAACACAGCAGCTGAGAATTTCCAGGAAATGGCGGCTTTAGCGTTGTTCAACTGGGGGAATGTTCACATGTCGAGAGCTAGGAAGAAGATAGAGTTCAAAGATGATGCCTCTCGAGAGGCAATGCTTGAGGGAATCAATGTGGCATTCGAATGGACAAAGAAGGAGTACTTGGAGGCGGGGGAGAGGTATGCTGAAGCATTGAGGATAAAACCAGACTTTTACGAGGGTCTTCTGGCTTTAGGGCAGCAGCAGTTTGAGAGGGCAAGGCTCACTTGGTACTATGCCCTCAGCTGCAAAGTTGACTTGTCAAATTGGTCTTATGCTGAGGTCATAGAACTGTATAATAGTGCTGAGGGAAATGTGGATAAAGGGATGGATATGTGGGAAGCTGCGCAATCACAACGGATTACCCATCTCACAGACAGAACTAAGATTAAGCCTGTGTTACAAGGAACGATTTTGGATGATCTGTTCAAAGACACATCGGCAGAAGATGCTGCTGTGCGGATTAAGGATCTGAGGTCACAGATGAATCTCCTACGTGGCACCATTCTCTACGAGCGGTCCATGATGGAGTACAGACTGGGGATCCCAGTTTGGCAAGAGTGTTTGGAAGTTGCACTCGAGAAGTTCCAGCTGGCTGGAGCTTCTGCTACTGATATTGGCGTGATGATGAAGAATCACATCTCGAATGATAGTTCAATGGATGGTATGTTCTATGAACTAGTTGGTTATGAATTGCTCGATGTGAAAAGCAACGGTCTTTCTGATGTTTTGCTCAACTTTTTTTCTGTTTGGGTTTTCAGGATTGGGGTTCAAGATTGATGAGATAGTACAGGCGTGGAATGATATGAACGAAGCCAAGAAGTGGCAGAGTCATGTGTACTCGTTCCGTTTAGAGCCGTTGCTACGACGTAGAGTTTCGAAGATCTATCATGCCTTGGAGGTCTCATGATGATGTTCTTGAAACTTCTGACAGGATCTAGTTGTTACTTGTGTACTAAGGTATTGGTTATTCTCTGTCTCTTTCTCTCCAATGCAATCTCTATGCAGTGTCTAAAAACCATTTCCTCCTTGCAGGGTGTGTTTGATTAGACCTTTGGACTCGGTTAGGGAAGAAGTGACAATAGTTATACGGGATTTTGTTGTGTGCAGATTTCAACTTTGTAGAAGATAGGCTCTCGTTCTCAATACAACCTCGTGGCACGAGGAAAGGAAGCTGGCAAGTTGTTTGCAGTTTTTAGCTCCCTCACTTTGCATAGCCTCACAACTTGTTCTTTTAGTCTAACCAGCAGGAACAATGGGTGTTCTATTCGTTATTCATTCAAAGTTGTCATCCAAAATAAACTTTGTTTTGCTTACCTTTGCCCTTGTTATTTCATAAGCTGTCCTTACTCCTTAGTAGTCTGAAAGTCATCTATGTTTGTAGAATACCAGGATATTTGTTCTGCATTTGACTGTAATCTCCATAGTTATATAGTCTCAAATTTGCAAATCTATGTTTCCCATTCTGGTTAAGAAGAAGCTGTAGTAGTAGAACCTTGGTCTGTGTAAGAAGGAATTTCAGGGACAAACTTGCAATTTTTGCTATACTGGACATGTTATAGGAATGATGGTTCTTGTTCTTGAGCTCTGTTTTATCTAGGTGGATGCTTGTTCCATTCTGACGATCCTATAACCGCAGAAACTAGCATTTTCCCAACAAAAGAAGCTAAAACCTCGAAAGTTATGATCTTTCTTACGCAAAAGCAAAACCCACTTAACCCCGCCAAGCAGGAAGCCCAACTCCCTAATCCAGCAGGTAAGAAACTGAAAAAAGTTGCCAATTCTGAGACCAAGCTCATTTAAAATCTGAACCCTCTGTTTTAGACCAGTCTCTAGCAATGGCGGAAGAGGCAGGGGAAGAGACAAAAGGGTTGGGATTTTGTTCAGTGGAGAAGATGTGGAAGTGGGAGAGCCGCCTCATGGACGACACGTGGCGAAATGGGAGCCTTGATCTGATAAAGCTAAAAGAAAACGGAGCCATCTGACTCAGGCGCACTCCTGCTTGGCAGCAAGAAAAATGGAGATGATTGGCCAGGCTGCTGCTCTGCTTCATCTTCCACATCCGCCATCTTCTTCTTCCACCTCCAGAATCCCAATCCCAAACCGCCCACCAACTTTAGCAGCCGAAAACCCTAAAATTCCATCACTCTCCAATCATCTCCTCTCCTTGGCCATCGCCCTCACCTTAAATTCTCCATTGTTGCCCTGTAATGCCATTCCATCTCTCAACAACAACACTCCTAATTCCCTCTCTCCCACCACTCCCTTCTCCCAGTCCAAGAACCTCCAAGTTGGCCTCCTCGACGGGTACAGTAGTAGAAGTAGAACCACCATTGCTCATTAGCAAATAGCATAACCTTCGTTTAATTTGCTTGGGTAAGTTCTTGCTCTGTTTTCACGTCATTGGTGTTGTTCTGCAGAAAGATCAGACCTTGCCCATCAACTAACCCTGGCTGCGTATCAACAAATCCAAAATCATCATCTTTTTCATTCCCCTGGACTATCCCTGATGCTGCTGACAGTACTCCCGCCACAGAGGAATTCGCAGTCAAGGTTAGCTCTAGATCTCATGATGAAGCACATTACTTCATTTCCACATCAGTAAATTGGGTTTTCATTCTTTTCATCTCTTCATTAATGGCAGAAACTTGAGCAAGCAATCCAGCTGACCCAGAAGAATCCCAAGATTCGAGTCACTGAAAATACCCCTTATGGTAAAAACTAAAGATCATGACTTCGTTTCTTAATAAGTTCTCTCTTTGATCTTGGGGGGGAATGAATGGGGTTGCAATGCAGGGCGGTATTTGGAGGCAGAGGTGGATGGGTTCTTTGGGACAAGGGACATTTTGGAATTCCTGGTGAAAGGGGTTGTGGTGACTTACAGATGTGTGGCCACAAAGGTGACCTTTGTTTATCCATTCACCACCGCCATAGGGGACTCTAAGGGACAGCAAGAACGCCTCGACCAAATTATTGACCAACTCGGCTGGTTTTCTCCTAGTTTTGACTCCATGGGTTAAGCTTAACTAATCAGCTCCTGTCTACTAGCAAATTTTAAGCTCTGTGAGTTTGCTGTTTTTGGAATTTTCCAAATTGGAGCTTTCTCCGTTTCCCAACCTCCTGGTGATGACGCTGTAGATCCTTTTTCTGTTGAAGAAGAAACTTCAGGGACTTGCAATTTTGTCATACTGAATGTCATAGGAATGAAGGTTCTCGAGCTGTGCTTTCTGCAGGTTGATGTTATATTGTTCCATTCTGCTCCGACCATGTTCTGATAATCACAGAAACTAGGGCAAACATTTTCATGCCACTTGATAAAACTGCTATGTATGCACAACTTTCATTTGATGGTTCGAGCAAGCAGAGAAAAGCCAATATATTTACATACTTTGACGGCTTTCTTTCTGCATGGCTTGCTTCCTATTGCTAGCCTTCAAACTTCCCTTCGGCCAGATGAGGCGGTAGGTATACTTATTAAGAGACTGTACGTGGGATAACACCACCAGCTGAGAGCATCACCAAGCTATATTTACAAGTAGTTCCTTCCCCTTTCGCTATAAGGGTACACATCCCGCTTCTTCACTCCGGTCGAAAGCTTACCAGATTGGGGAGTGCAGTTACCTGCAGCTTCCTTATCTCGGAGGCAGTCACCTTACAGGACTCCAAGGTTAGGGAGTGTAAATTCTTCAATGGCTTCAAATGCTGCAGACCCTTGTTGGTTATCAGAGAATTTGAAATATTCAGCGACACTAAACCCTCCAACCCTGCATTTTCAAACGGGAACCCGCAATAGTTTTGTTACTTGGGACGCCTTATATATGTTATTGCGACATGGAGACCAAGACTACAGAAGAACAAAGTACCAGAGATCAACTCTAAGGTTTTGTCTGTCAGGTTGCTGTTCTGTGACAGGTTCAACACGGTTAGGTGAGAAAGTTCTTTGATGTTCTTTACCCCAGCATCTGTTATGCCACCACCACATATTTCCAGGGATTGAAGATTCTTGAAGTCTACAAGCATGAATGAGAAATACCTTGAAACGTAAGAAACTAGAAAGAACATTATGCAGAAACAAAGGATCTTAATTTTCCTCGGAAAAGTAGCAATAGCATGAAGTGGGAGAACGGCAAGTGATAGAAGTTAACGAATGGCAAGTAGATAAGAATCCATACGTCGCAAATAATTTGTTCCAGCATCTGAAATTCGAGCTCCAAATAGGTCCAGATGGGTCAGACTGGTCAAACCTGCACCATAAAGGCATAATGGAGCTACTGAAAATGGTATGAACATTATAATTTCTGCAGCTAGACATCTTCAGAACATGCTGCCTTGTCTCACATTGCTGTAATAGTTCTAGAGTATAATTCTTCGCACCAGTGGTGTATCATAAAGCACATTAAAGCCAGTAGAATAAATGCTTTACTTGTAAGAGCGGCAAGACCAGTGTCTGTAATCTGGCGAGCATCCAGGTTGAGTGATCTAAGAGAAGTCAACCCAGATAATCTCCTTAGACCACCGTCGGTGACCAAGGTGAAAGACAGATTTAAGCTCTCCAGTTGATTCAAACCTAGAAATAGTAAAAACATGAGTGTAACTCGGCAGGAAGGTAACACCAATACTTTCAACCCTAAACTTGATTGCAAAGCTTTTACCAATGTTAAGTTGTGGCAAGGTATAGAGAGCCCTACCTGAAAGATGACGAAGACCACTGCTGCCAACTTCAGTATCAGACAACTCCAAGCTTTTGAGGGGAAGTCCTGAGAGGAGAGGCACAAGGAGGATAAGGCATTAATATCATGGAAAATTTTAAATGTAAAAAATAAAAAGAAACATCGATAAAAAATAACTACCAGACAAGTTAGCCAGCCCCTCGTTACCAATCTTACAAGAATCCAGGTTTAAGCTCTCTAAGTTCTTTAAGCCTGAAAAAGAACATATAAATCTCTTCCGGTATCAGACTAGTTAATTTCATGATGAACCAAATAAGACAATGACATTTGGTGGGATTTTACAAGATATCACAGCATGTTAAAGGTCAAAGTCATGCATTCAGTAAGAGAAAGAAGGGGAGCAAGGACCTTTTAGATGGACCAAAACGGCATCTGTAATGTTGTTGAATGCCAAACTCAAAACCTTCAGCTTCTTCAGCTCTGCATGTTTGTTACACACAATCACCTTCCATGTTGAAAGTTGAAACACTACTAAAATGAGCAGTTCAACATGATCTTGTTATAAAAACATGTTCACTCACCAGAAAACTTCTCACATCCCTCATCTGATAGCCCACATCTGCTTAAATTTAAGTATGCAAGGTTTACAAGAGCTGCAAAAGGAAAAGGTTGATCAATACTACTTCTACATAGAATTCATGAGGAAGTCAATATTTTCCCGGCAAAGAAAAGCCCAAAACACCAAACTTCAAATCCTTTCTCTCTACATGTAAATGATGCTACTGGGTGATGCAATAACTTGTAAGGACCGTTGTAGATGAACTAATCAAAAGAAAGCTGACCTGCAAGTGAATCCAAACATTCAGCTGTCACATTACAACCTTCCAAGTTCAGCATGATAATCTTCTCCAAACCTGGCGTATGTATGAAAAGTAATGGCGAGATCAGCCGTGAAAACTGATATAGGATGACCAATGAATTACCAAACAATCCCTATCTGACTTGATTGAAGGATTTTATGTGTCACATTCGGACTGGGTAAGAGTATTTCACACATTACGAACAAGGGTTTGGTCTAGTGGTAATACCACTAGCCTAGAACCTGGAGGTCCCAGGTTCGAATCCCTTAAGTAGTACCTTAATACAAGAAAGTAAAACCTATATCACCCTTATAAAAAAAAGTTTTTCACACATTGTCCAAGTGCCGTAGCAGAGAAACTATAGCAAAGACCTGGAAAATACTAGGAAGCCATCAACAAAGCACTCCAACAAGTATTAGGTGGAGCTTCCCAAGAAGCTGAAGTGGCTGAAACAGGGGAAATGCAGAGTGCGTCCACTATCCAGGTTGACAGACAAAAAAGAAGGTTAATTAATGTCCAACAACTGGATACCTCTTAATAAGGAAACTCCAAAATCCGTTATGTTACAATTGGATATTTGCAGTTCCTTCAGATTAGCGAGACCTGAGAGAGAGAGAGAAAACAAAAAGTAACAGCTAAGAATAGATATCAAAGGCCAGATAAAACACGAAATTAGCATCTCAATTCAATCTTAAGTGCGGAACAGCTAACATTTTGAAATAGGTCAGTACTTGGTCCCGCTTTTTCTTAATAATGAAGTCAGTTAACCCAGTCAATTCTTACCAGTGAGAGCTTTCATGTCCAGATCTGTAATGCATTTACAGCACCTAACATTAAGAGACTCCAGTTTTGTTAATCCTGTAACAGAATACAAAGAAGAAAATCATGTCACAACACTTGGTCCGTGTAAGTGGTAAATGAAACAAAATTCCCCCAGAAAGCCCTTCTCAGCTCAAGACATTCAGCTGAATCTGCATCATTTTAACAAACATACCTTTTAGATGAACAAGTCCACCATGAATCTGGGAGCATCTCTCCAGGTCCAACTTCTCTAAATTAACCAAGTTGGAGAAGGCTTGCATCCCTTCAGCAGTAATAGCATTACTCCTTTTGAAACTCAAAGAAGTTAAGCTGTTAAGGCCTGAAGAGCAGCATCAAGATTAGCCACCCAAACTGGCAGATAGTCCATTGGTTATCGTAGCAAGAAAAAACTCATTGAAGTGACAACTACTTCCATGAATTAGTTAGAGTACTACCACTTATGTGTTTCAGGCCATGCTCAGTAATACTTTCACAATAATTTAGAGTCATTTCCTGAAGGTTTGAACAATCTTTCAGACCAACCAATGCAGCATCTGTGACTTCCGAATAGGAAAGGTCCAAGGAAAGTAGAGATGATCCTTGTGAAGATATTACATCCATCCAACTATCCTTCACCCCTGGACAGTCACCTAAATGAACATCCTGATAATTTAATAACCAATATCAATTAGAGACATCCTTCAACACAAGTAAATAATTTAGTTCTGAAAAGGTATGTTACAAATGATTACCTGCAGAGCGCAATCGAGAAATGCTACAAGAGAATCGTCATTGAGACTATGAGTCAACACCAACTCATTAAATATTTGCTGGCTTATATCCCTTGGAAGAACAGAAAAGGACTTATATCTTTCCATGTCCTGTTGGAATTAAGAGAACTAAAGATACTCAACACTCTTTTGGCAAGGACATAAGGCAAGATGTGTAACCAATGAGAGTTCAGAAATGAAGCAAACCTTGCATATCTGTTGTATGCATAGTTCCATCAAAGAGGGACAATTTCCTCCTGGTTGGCAGTCAGCAACGGCAACATGACCAAATGAGTTGCGAAGCCATTTCGAACTCCCACTTTTACCATACCTCCCTGAAACTCTGCTGGCACTACCATCCCCAAGAACATCTTGGTCTCTCTTCCTTGAACAAATCCCACCCATGTTTCTAAATTTTGGTTCTGACTGAAGAGCAAGCTATACAAGTAATGTCATTCTGACACTAGATGAACAAAGCCACTGCAGAATGGAATAAAGAAAAAGGGTGAGAAACAGCATAATTGAGTAAGCTCCTGTATCTAAAACAGAGTCGTCAACACGACACACAGTAAGTGTCCTAGTCAAATGCAAACCATGTTTCTTTTGGGCAACCACAAAGGAAGCTAACACTTAGTTGGGGGATATATCAGCTGCCAAGAAACATGAAGGCGGGTTTAGGTAACTTGTAAAGTATTAGCTTAAAAGAAACAACGAAAGTTGCGATCATTCTTACGCAAAAGCAAAACCCACTTAAACCCGCAAAAGAGGAAGCGCGATGACTGATTAGGAAGGTGAAAAAGCCAAACAACTGCCGTTTGCCTAACTCCAGAATACAGTAGATAAGACAGTGAAAAAGCTGTCGCATTTTATGCCAAGCTCATTCCAAATTCGAACCCTTTGTTTATAGACCAGTCTCTGCACCGGAAGAATAAATAAAAAAAACGAACTGCAGCTCAATCACCAAACAGTCTCCACTCATCAAAACCCCAATCCCAGCTAAGAAAACACTCGGCAAAGCTCCAAACAAGAACAAGCAGTAGGGGCAACGATCACAATCCAGAAACCCATACAAGAAATGGAAGAAGTAATCAAGAAAAAATCCCTCGAAGGAATTACCCAAAACAAAAACAGGGAAAAGGAAGGAAAATTCACTGTAACTTCGCTGGTAAAGCAATCATCACTCGACTTAACCAACAAAATGAAAGGAACCCAGAATCCTCCCGGAAGTACCTACGAAAACAGACCGACGATCGAATTTGCCGTGATAGGATACGGTCGTCACAGGGAATCAGAAGTCGGGAGAGGAGAAAGGGAGAAAGTGAGCGAGAGATAGCAATGGCGGAGAGGAGGCATGGGGAAGAGGCCGAAGCGTTGGGCTTTTGTTCGTGGGGAAGAGGTGGAAGTGGGAGGACCGTCCGATGGATGACACGTGGCGAACTGGAGCCGGGGTTGGGAGCCTTTGAACGGATAAGATCGAAAAAATTGAGGGGAATATGGTGGGACCCGTCGGCGGGTTTTGCTGGTAGAAAAAGTGGGACCCATCTTCTTAATCCTTCCCGCTCCCGCTTTAGTCAGCCGGCCGCTTCTAGATATTATATGATTAATTAATTACTCCAATGGGATTATGGGGAAAGGAGGAAGGATCATAATTCTTAATCATGATTGATGATTAAGACCTTTGGTAATGGTAGGTATAGAAGGTACTTGGAATTGTAAAATATATTAAGATTGACTTTGCAATTAAGTACTACAAATGAGATTTCAGCAACAAATATATAGATGCAAGTTTCACCAAATAAATTATTGAGATAATCTCGCGATCGAAATCTAGCACTTATTTGAGCAGTTGGGTCATTGCAAATATTACGTGTCTACCTATTATCAGCTCATCACTAATAAGTTCAGACTTAGTGTTGCTTGTGTTTATAAGTAAACTAACTTTTAGCCGAACATTTAGCATGCATCTCGAGATAAATTCATAACCGTTAAATGAAGATATACATTGGAAGTTATGATGATCCTAGTTACTTAACAAAACCAAATTACGTACCCATATTCTTTGATTTTGAAGCCAGTGACTTTGCATTAATCAAGATGTGACAAAATGCAACGAGTACAAAAGCAATAATTGGACGGGAAATTCTAGGGTGCGTTTGGATAAAGTGTATTTTTTTTTTTTTTTTGGTAAAAATAAAGTGTATTTTAAATGTAAGGTATTTGGAATACTAGCATTTGAAATGAATGTATTTGAAATATTAACATTTGAAATACATGTAATTCAAATTCATTGTTTGGATACTCATTTGTATTTTATGATTTTGAATTTCAATTTTTAAATTTCTGGTCACTTACTACAAATTTTGGTAAATTACAGTTTGGTACCCATTTTTTTTTACAATTTAGTACCTAAACTTTTAAAACTTTACAAAAGGTCCTGAAATTTTGATGGTAAAATTACATTTTGGTACCTTTTTATGTTTTGCCTCGCACTATAGTACCTAAACTTTTCATATTTTACAAATAGGTCCATTCTTTTGTTAGGAGGTATTTCAAATCACTAGTTGATGAAATGTATTTGAAGTTGACAAAAAATAGACTAGACATGTATTTGGAAATCACCCCATGAATTTGACACAAATCCAAATACCAAATGTAATTAATATCCAAACACATGATTTTGTATTTGGAAATCCAAATCACAAATACCAAATCCAAATCATTGTATCCAAACGCACCCAATTTATTTTTATGTAGTGATATAGGAGATCAAAGTAACAGATAACTCCAAGCTTCTCTACACAGTTTTCTCTTTCGGGTCATTTCCCGGCCGTCGTCGTTACGTTTACAGGGAAAGACGATGGGGACTCCATTCGTTCCAATTTTATACGAATACAATCGGAGCATTTGCATTAGCATCAACAGAGCATCTGTTTATTCACCTCTTTACATTATTAAGTATCTAGAAGTACGATTTTCAATGTGGTGAATTAGATTACTGCCTTGACGTGCTAAGGATTGTATGATAGTGTCACTGTTGTTAGAGAATAAAACGGAACCATTTAATTATTTTTCCTCAACATCACTCTTCTCACTATCCGAGTCTCTAGCTACCACTAGCTTTCTCTGTTAGGCTGTTAGCTAGAATCACTCTCCTCGTATTCCACTTCTCCCATATCTGTAACAGAGTTTCCCTGTTGTACTGTATATATTCAGCTCATTGATATCAATACAAAACACGAATTCATTCTCCCAAATTTATATCTTTCATGGTATCAGAGCTAGTTACGCTCAACTAGACTCGATCCAAACCTCTTTTGCATCTCCTGTTTTTTTCTTCTCATCGCTCAATATGTCTGCTACTTCAGATTCAACGCTGTCTTCGACAGCCTCCGAAGACTTGATCATCACATTTAATCCAGCCGCTCAACTCCCACTGAAGCTCAATCCAACGAATTTCAATTCTTGGAGATCTCAGCTTGAAACTCTCCTCATGGGGCTGGATTTGATTCACTATATTGATGGCTCTGCTGCTGCTCCCCCAAAAACAGTCACTGTCACCGACAACGCGTCTGCGGCTGCCACTGCCAATCCAGCATATCGTCGTTGGTTTCGCCAAGATAAACTAATCCTCCACGCACTTCGCTGTTCTATCTCTGAATCCTTGTATTCGTATGTCTCCGATGCTACCACGTCTCGCGAGGCTTGGGTGATTCTTGAAAAGTTATATGCTGGAAAGAATCAATCACGTATCATCCATCTGAAAGGAAAATTGGCTAATTCAGTCAAAGGTACCAAAGATATCGTCACCTATGTTAATGATCTGCGGCTTATTGCCGCCGAACTTGCGTTGATTGAAGAGCCCGTTAAAGACCTAGATTTGGTCGTTCATTGTTTGCGCGGACTCGGCCCGGAATATACCTCCTTCTCTGCTGCGGTCCGGGCTCGTGGAACTTCTGTATGTCTTGAAGAGCTTGTTGATTCCTTGGTTGAATTTGAAGCCGACCTAAAAGTTCAGGCTCGCAGCTCCTCTGTTCCCACCGCTTTTCTTGTGCACAATCAGCCTCGTCGCGGTGGTGGTGGTTTTTCCAGCGGCGCCCAGCAGAACTCAGGCAGCCCCAATACCACTTCTCGGCGCGGCCAGCAATCATTTTCCGGCCAGGAGGGTCGGCAAGCTGCTCCTTATTTTTCCCCAGCCAGTTCGGCCGCAGCATCCTCGGCGCCCTCTGGTCAGCGGAAGCCCTCGGTTCGTTGTCAATATTGCGACCGACCCGGACACTCTGTCCGGCAATGCTTCCAACTGTTTCCACAGGCCAGGCAGGCCTACAATCAGGCCCGCAATGCCCAGGCCTATTACTCTCATCATGGGCCGCCTGCCTCTTCTCATAATGGGCCGTTTACCTCTGGGCCGTCTTCAACTCCTGGGCCCTGGGTCATGGACACAGGGGCCTCTCATCATACTACTCCTGATTTAGGGAATTTATCCTTATATTCGGATTATATGGGGCCTGACGAAATTCAAGTTGGTGATGGCACAGGTTTGGTTATCTCGCATATCGGCTCCTCATCAATAAATGCTGGTTCCCATTTTCTTCAATTAAACGATGTTTTATGTGTGCCTGCCATCAAGAAACACCTTATTTCTGTGGCAAAATTATGTCGTACTAATCCTGTGTCGGTGGAATTTTTTTCCACTCACTTTCTTGTGAAGGATCTTCGCACGGGGGCGCAACTGCTGAGGGGGGAAAACAACGGTGACATCTATGAGTTACCTCGCGAGGTGGGCCCAGTTCGCATGGCGTTGGTCACTACTCGCACGTCTGCAACATCCTGGCACTCCCGTCTTGGCCATCCTTCCCATTCATCCCTCACCAACATTATTCGGTCTTTCTCTCTTCCTGTGTCCTCGTCTCCCTCCAATTTGTCATGTGATGCCTGTCTTTCCAATAAAAGTCACAAACTCCCATTCGCTGTGTCTACCTTGACTAGTAGTCGTCCATTTGACCTCTTGTACACTGATGTTTGGGGCCCTGCCCCTGTTTCATCCATTGATGGTTTTCGTTACTATTTAATTATTGTTGATCATTTTTCACGCTATACCTGGTATTATCCATTGTGCTAAAAATCGGATGTTCTTCAAGTGTTTATTGCGTTCAAGAAAATGGTTGAAAACTATTTTTCTACCACTATCAGACGTTTGTACACTGATGGTGGTGGCGAATTTCAAAAACTATGTTCCACTCTTGTCGATCATGGTATCACCCATCTCCTCACTCCACCCCATACACCTGAACACAATGGACTTGCTGAACGAAAACACCGTCATTTGGTTGAAACGGGTATTACTCTTCTTCATCATGCCAAACTTCCCTTGATTTTTTGGTCATATGCTTTCTCCACAGCTGTGTATCTCATTAATCGTCTTCCATCCTCGGCCTTGCGTGGTAAAATTCCCTATTCTCTTCTCTTCAATATTTCTCCCAATTATCACAAACTTCGGATTTTTGGTTGTTTATGCTATCCATGGCTCCGGCCCTACTCTCCCACCAAACTTGATCCACGGTCCCGTCCTTGTATATTCCTTGGTTATTGTCCTCAACAGAGTGCTTATCGTTGCTTTGATCCGCTTACCCAACGTGTGTTCATCTCTCGGCATGTTATTTTTGTTGAGGATTCTTTTCCAGGATTTACCACACCTCCATCCCCTATCACTCCTACTGTTGAGACATGGCTACTTGACTCCACCCCTTCCTTTCTCACCCTTCGTGTGCCAGGATTCACTGCTGGGCCTGCTTCGGCCCATCCTCACTCGGCATCTGCCCC